GGGGTCTGGCCCACAGACTAAAGTTGTAAGTTTGTTACGTTAAGTACCTACGACTGAATAATCGGCTATCTACTTTAAATATTTATAATTATCTTTACTCGTATTCTTTGTTTTTGTTTCAACTAATTCTCCTTATCCTAACTTCACCGAAGTATAAAAAACAGACGTTTTATAGCATTTTCCTTAAAAACATTCACTTGACTTTCTTCGCTGATAACCTGATTCAGCCCTAGAGATTGACAACAATATGACGCTCTGACACTTGCCAAAAGAGTATTGTACTGTAGTGGACGTATTGTAATAATTCAAAGAAGTGTATAAAGTGAAACCCCCGCAACATATACAAAAGAACTAATTTTGCATCCGACTAATTATAGGGGTGCAAAATCATCAAACATTTGACAAAATCAACAAACAGCTAATTACACAGATCAGTATTTCGCACCGTATCTAAAATAGATTCCTGAGCAAACTTAACCTAAAGTTTAGTGCAAACTCACAGCTTCAACTGTCAACTACTCCCTACCTTAACCACATCAAGAGTCAAGTTTGAAGAAAGTTGTTGCACAGCTCAGCAAAATATAATTCTCATTTTTTAAATATTGACTAGCGCTATAAAAAACTTCATTGAGTCAATTTTCTTTCTTCTTCAACAATTCTCAGAGGTAATCAGGGGTGCCCATCCTCACCTAGGTCGATGGCGCAAGAACATAGCCCCTCACTCTACCAAGATATTTTATTGCTCACCTTTTTATAAAAACACAGTAAGGGAAAATATAATTAGAAAAATCGTAGATCATACAGAATTATACTTTTTGCGGTCTATATTTTCTTTTCGTCCTATATTCAGAAACTTTTCTTCTGAAATTCTGAAAGAATCATTCTGAAAATTCATAACCCCTTTGAAATTAGCCCCCCTCAAAAATTCAAAACCGCGTCAAAATATACCCCCTTAAAAAGTTTGATGGTGCAACTTGCGCCATAAAACCTCCTTCTGGACACCCCTGGAGGTAATGCAGGTCATTCATCCAGTGCCATTTCCTGTCCTTTAGACCTTTGTCTATCTATTATTCAGTGAGATAAAAACTGACTGACTTACAATAGGACTGACCAGGACATATACTTACACATAAAAAATTGTTAATTTGTATAAACAATATTGTTATTCCAAAGGGACCTAGTCCCAGGATTTTCTATTTTAAAAATAGTGTTATATTTATAGCAGAAAAATCACTAACACTACGATCTAAATTCTATACCTAAGAGGAGTTTTTAAATCCCCGCCCACACTCCCTGGCCCGGTAAAACCCCCGTATAGCCCTTAAAATTTTATTGAAATAACCACTTGCAACCACTCTAGATTAATAAATTAGGGCACTAGCGGATCCAGGATTTGGGGGGGGGGAAGGGGGAGCTTTAGCCTGGAAGCTTATTTTTTCATGTATATAACGATAATTACTTTGAAAAAAAGAAATATACGAACTACCTATCTGAAATGGTGTTTAGGTATTTCTTTAAGTCCTATTAAATGTAATTACACGAACAATTAAACTTTATGAGATAATATTTTTTCCATAAAATATGGTTACATTTTACCATTTTTGGGGGCTTCAGCCCGAAAGCTCTCCCCCCCTCCCCTCGTAGATCCGCCTGTGGACAAGGGCATAGAAGTTACGGAGATCACACACTATGTATCATTGTTACAATTCATTGTTTTCCAAGTTATGTTTGGACATCTGTTATATTTTGAACTTTCTTCAAGCATATGGAATTTTTAAATTTGTTTTCATTGGGATAGCTTATTAAGCAAAACATTGGATTACAGATCCTTGGCGGTGTACCCAAAGAGGAATCAAATAACAGTCGTTTCTAAGGGTTCCTCACGAACATAAAGTGTGTACCACTGTTCATTTCCTAATTAACAAAGGACATAGAACTATACCATAAACCATTAATGTGAGTTCTAATCTTTCTTTTGATCATTTCCTTGTGAACATGTTGCTGTTATAAGTTCCCTGAGGCATTAACAGGTCCATCTATCTATAGTGGACCATGTACTGCAAACAAATAAGAACAGCCTGAATTCCACTTTTTCTGTTCTAATTTATTTTAAGAAAAGGAAAAATTAGAGGAAGTAGTTCACGTCTTGGTCTTGTTCTCCTAAGGAATCAAGGGGATAGAAATTATAAAATGTGCTTAACTCTAAACAATTCATAAAGAAAGGCTGGACAAACATGGTAAACAGATTTTCCTTTCTTCAGTTTTTATGTATCAAACATTGAATATGTCATTTTTATACTCAGCAATTCTACATCATAGGTTTTAAAAATGAAGTTCAAATTACAGAACATCACGAACAAGCAAATAAAAACATTTATAAATTGAAAGCCTTAATATTGCTAATAAACCCTTAACTAAAAGTATATTGCAGTACAATTACCATCATCCCCTTCTTTTTTAAATTTCATGACACAGAATTAATGATGAAATAGATAGAGATGTGCTGAAACAAATTACATGTTTGCCAAACACAATAAATACCAAAATGGTATATCTGGTTTAAAAAAAGGAGTATTTAAACCCTTGTGTTCCAAAGAAATATTTTGGTATAAAGTTTTACTTAAATTACTTTTATTGCAAAAAAAAAACAATTAAGTATTTTTTTTTAAATAAAACAATATCTGTCGAGTTCTCAAGCAACCCAAGTGATTTATATGGTGCCAAGGGCCATATTGGCAGTTCCAGAAATTGTATAAATACCAACTCCAGAAATACAGAAAAAAAAAGAAAAAAGAAAAAGAAAACAGGCTCTGCACTTGCTTAATATTAGTCACGGGGAAGTCTTTCTTGTTTCCATTTAGGTATTTAAGAAACAAGGTGATTTCAGGACAGGTGTTGATCAAATATTACCCCAAGGTTTTTAACGGAAGTGTGGAAGCGAATAGGTTGGCTATTATGGTAGAGTAGGGAATAATAAGTAAGGGAATTAAGAAGATGCTTAGAACCAATGAGAATGGCTTTGGTCTTCTCAATGTTCAGCCTCAAATCATTGTTAGCAGCCCATGCGTTGATATTGTCTGTCTTCTTGAAGCCTTCGGGTCGCCTCAAGCATCTCTGAAGGATGAAAGGATTGGTAGATCTGGAGGTCGTCAGCATATAGGTGATATTGTGAATAATGGATGGAATCAGGGAGGTCGTTGATATAAATGGAGAAAAGACTTGTTGAAAGGGAAGATCTCTGAGGAACACTACGAGTTAATAAGAGGGATGAGGAAGGAATGAAACCATATTAATACATTATTCAAGGAGAGATTCTGGACTTTGAAAAAGAGAACCAGGACATAGATTTTCTGTTTGTCCTCAGAGAATTGAAGGTCTTGGATGACTTTTAACAAGGCAGATTGAGTGGTTAGATGGTTAGAGGTGGTTTTGAAAGATTGGTCAAAAGTCGGAAACTTTGGAGGGAATCTTTGCACAGCGGACGGATAATGACTTTTTTTCAAGCAGATGGGAAACTGGGATTTTGTAAAGAAAAATTGTAGATATGCAAAAGGGCAGGAAAGATGACAGGAAGACATATTTTAACTAAATTCATTGGGATTTGATCCAGACCATAGTCATTCGTTCTGGATTTGAGGACAGAGGAGAGAAGGTCCTATTTCTAAAATAGATATTTTCAGGGTTAAAATAAGTTTTCGGAATGCGGTATGAGAACAAGGACAGTGTAGGAATAGGGTCGGCAGAGTGGTAATTGAGTTGATTAGGACCCTCAGGATACGAATAACAGGCTTTTGATTTTACTAGGGATAGATTTTTCAGGATTTTCCATTTGGTGTTGGGATCCAGGGCTTGTGATAGAGAATTATGGAAGAATTGTGCCTTGGCACAACTAAAGGAAGCTTGGGTATGGTTTTGAAGGCTCTTGAATGAAATGTAGTCATCCGGGTTTCACGTTCTTTTGAAACGCTTCCAAGCAGAGTCTCTTTTCTTCATTACCTCTCTAATTTCATTACTAACCCAGGGAGCAGCGAGGAGTTGGAAAATTGAAGTTTTTAGGAGTGTGTGATGATTTAGGAATAGGAGAAGATTGGAAGAACGGCACTTCACCATTTCATCAATGGAAGAATAGGAAGAAGAAATAGGTTCTAATTAGGATTAGGATAGTGTATCAAGAAAAGGATTTATTTTTTTCAGAGGTCAATGAGTCGAGGTCCCGCCCAGAAATTTGCTTAGGAGTGAACTTTGGAGTTGGGACATTATAGGAGACCTTAATGAGGGCATGAAATGAAAGGAAGAACACTGGATTCTAAGAAGAGAATAATAAACTTCGAGATGAATCCATTATAAAAAGATCGAGCTATGGACTTCATAACTGATTATGATGAATGGGTCGAAAAGATACGATAAAAAGGTGAAGGAAGTGAATTAGGTCTACAACGTATGATTTGTCAGGAGAGTTGGAACATAAATTAGTGCTAAATTAGCCAGTTATTTTTATACTATTGTGTAAAGAAATGTAGGAGAAAAGAGAGGATACAAAAGCAGGATCATATCAAACTTAAGGAGGGCGATATGTAAGAACATAAAGAATGGAAAATGAATCTGAGGAAATTTCAACGAATAGGTATTCTAGGTGAGAAATTTCAGCAAAGAGAGAGATTTGTGAAGAATTTTTGCCCTCAGACTTTCATGGACATAAAGGCCGAAATTATTTTTTATGTGTCAAATAAAACGCTATCGTTTCTAGAATATTTAATAATTAATTAGTCATAAAAAGCTCATTCCTTAGCATCTTGTCCTTAGGTAATTGTATTTTTTCAACCACCTAATTACTCACATTGTGTTCACGAGTCTATGGAGTAATTAAAATTACAATTACTATGTCAATAATATAACTATTATAATCTGTATTAATATATATGAAGATGAATCATTAATAAAGTTTTAGATAAAACAATAAATTTATAACCATTAAGGAACAGGATGTAATAACAAAATATTTGCTTATCCATTCACATTTTAATTTCAATGTTTATATAATATGTAACTGATTATGTAACATATAAAATATGTCAGTCAATATTTTTCTGCAATAAAAATTTGCCCGAAATTGAAACATTCATTTCTTTGCATATAGCTCCTCCAAAATACTTTAGGCATCATAAAAATTCGATGACTACCAGTATTGTTGCATCGAAACCTAAAAAAAAATAAATAAATAAATAAAATAAAATGAATAAATAAAAAGAAGAAGAATATGTATAAAGATTTAACATTGTTTAAAATTTGAATAGGAAATAAGTAATACAATAAAAATGAATGAAAAAACAAAAACACACATAATCGACACATCTTATATATAATAAATACAGTTTCCAGTATGTAATGGTTTTTTTCTGTTGGTTTAACTGAAGATTTGCTGAATTCACTCACTAAAAGCAGGTATTGTAAAAAAACACAAGAGATATCCTACATTCCAAAAAACAATTACTAGGCATTTAGTAGAAAGGGAAGGTTTTCAATCAAGAAGAAATTGATAAATAATGAGAACTAATAATGTAGGCTCCTTTGCATATGTTCCTGACAGATATAGAAACAAAAATGATTAACGAATAAATGCCTGTAGTAATAATTTTTCAAGAACATCAAACAAAGAACATCAAGTTAATAGACAGAAGCTCGATTGGCTACTTATAGATTATCAGCAAACCACCATATAATCATACTAAAACTAAAAATTTCTGATTAAATTCATAGATGGAAAAAAAAATACAGCTATATAAATAATTTTATAAACTTCATTTTAATTTATTATTGACATTTGACACATTGTGAGTGGGAACTTTGCCAGAGCATTATGGTTGGAGCAGGATTTAATACAATTTACTATTATTATTTAGAAGTTGTCAACAATCTATCTAATCTATTGTTTTGTGTATATTTGTACTTTGTAATACAATAATTGAGAAAGGGCAATAACAAATATTAGTAAACCGTAGAGCTTTATTTACCAAACATTGTACAAAACATAACTACATGACACATGCTCTACTCACAGTTTGTGACAAATGTATTTTCTGTGTCCTGACCACAATATGTCAAGAGAGATACAATTTTAGGGCATTATGTATGTGTATAACAGTTTCATAAACATTTTCAATTTGAAAAGGTTTGTACAAAGACTAACAATGAGTGAAATAAGTGCAAACAAATTATTGTGCGAAGTTTTTTTTTCATGCGGTCTATAGGTGCGGAACCTGCAACCTCTGTGAAGTGTGGAATTTCAAAAATACTACTTCTGGTATTTATTAAAACTTTACTATGTGGATTACAGCAATGAGAAAATTAAAATTTCTATACATATGCTTACACAAATAAAAATACTAACAGCAAAATAAAAACAAATATAGCAGCTTCTTTAATCAATGCCTAACTTAAATGTGGCCTCCTTCATCACTGCCTAGCCTAAATGTGACATCTAATGATAAGAAGATTTCCTGCTTATGATCTATACAATTAAAATAATTAGCAATAATTTACTAAGAGGGTAATTCAGTCATCATAACAAGTTTTTTTCTATGTTTAATACAAATGAGATAATATTAAACAATATGTTGTTTTTAAGTAGTGGTTTAGATAATTCATTAAGCTACTATTTTACAATAATATAAAGGGGATGATAGAAAAAAAAAGATCTTTAACCATTAGTTTTAAAAACTCAACTTGAGAAGTCTCTGTAACCAATAAAACAAAATTGGAGGTAAAATTAATCTCAAAACTTGAGAACTTTCAGAAATGAAAGCAATATCACATATTTTAGCAGCTACCGAGTTGTGAAAAAGATGGTCAAAGTAAATATTAATGAAGAAACCTCTATATTTCTCCTGAACTACACAATTGCAAAACTTATCACCATGTATTGTCGGTTGCTTCCAGTCTATTTTACTTTAAATAATAATCTAGCCCAAGTTAGACGAGTTTGGAATCTGTAGTGTTGACCACTACCATAATTCACAAACTGTACATCAACCAATGCCTACCAATAGGCAACAATGTCTTCAATAAGCTATTCGAGGCTATTTATTTTTATTATCAAAACATAGCAAAACAAAAATGGTCAGTTGTTTGGGGCCATAAATATGGGAGGAAACAAATTGCCATTTATCACAATAAAATAGAGGAAGAGACACAATAATTTTCTTTATAACAATGAAGACTTTGAAGAATTTACCAAGCACACTCTACATTTCCACGTGTTTTTAGTAACGAAGTTATAAATGGCCAAACACAACTAAGCAAAAGCAATAAGAATAAGCATTAAAGGAATAAAGAATTTCTTAAGAGATGAATTGCATTAATGTCAAAAACTTGGTTTCAGAAACACATGGTTAAATAATTTAAATTACTTTCATTATAGACATGGAATGTATACATGTTTCTTTGTCATTAAAAATTTCATGTAACAGCCTTATGCATAGCTGAATCAATTAAATTAGAAAAACCAGAATTTATTTTACATTAATTTTGATATTCCTGTCACAACTTAAATTACAACGGTAAATGCCAAATTATACTAAACCATTAAATATATGCTTCAAAAAAATTAAGAAAAGGTAGGAAAAATAAAAAAAATCATATATAATGTAATAAATCAATGAGTAAGTCTCTTTCCAATAATCCTATGTGATATGAAAACAATAAAATAATTTTTTTTAAAAATCTAAAAATCATTCTTCAAATTTTCATATTTTTTAGGGTGGGTGAATTTCAGAGATAAATGAATAAGAAATGACTCATAATGAAAAAATTATTTGAGAAACAGTAACGAAGAAATTCAAAACGAAACAAGAAAACTTAGTTTCTTACTCTGTCGAAGTCTTAAACTTCTAAGAAAACGCAATACAGAAAAAAGAGAGAAATTATTTTGAAAATTTCAAAATTTTTATAGCAATAATAAAAAGAAACATCTGGTCCAATATACCTTAAATGATTAATATTTCCTGTTTTTATTGTTTTACTAATACTTAGTTTATTATTAAACGTTATACTTCAAAATTTGTCGTTCTTGTCCAAGTCTGTTTTACATATTTCGCTTATATTCTTTGCCGAAATACTACGAAGTTCTATAATTAAGTAACTTCAAAGTTCACCACAAACTTCATTCATCCACCAACAAATTTGGATGTTTCAGACAGACCCTCCTTTGCTTTACCTGATATATATATATATTATATTATTATATATTATATTATATATATATATATATATATATATATATACATATTAATGAATACATTATAACTATTATTACTTTTATTGTAAACTCTTAAGCATTAAAATTGATTGCAATAGTAAAAATAATTTACAGGTAAGGATCAGTAATCTAATTTTGGCAACCATACCATCAATTAAATCATTTATCTAACATATTCACAAGTTACTAAATTTAAGTGGAAAGTATAAAAATAAATAAATACTAAGAAAGCTGGATGCAGGAAAGAATTTATCCATTAATAACCTCATGGCTATACTTAAAAAGGCAGAGAAGGTGAAACCAGAGCAAACCCTTGTCCCATCAATCAATTTGTAGAAAATTTAACACCCTCAAGTGTATCTAATAACTGTGTAGTTAAATTAACTTATATCTTAAGGCCTTAATGGAGGCTCTTATGGGTCGCTTTCATGAAATTTCAAGGAGTTATATTATAACTCCTCTATGGAAGATCTCAAACCACTCCTAGGTCTTAGGGCCACACAAGTACTCCCTTTAATTAGACCATGTCAGTCTGAGTGGTTGAAAGTTTTATGAATCAATTTCACAAAGTCTATAGAAGCAATAATAGTCAGTGGGCCAGAACCCCTAGTGTGCACCCCCTCCCCCCCCTCCCAACATCCCTAATAAATTGCATGTCATTGTGTTCCTCGTAACTATTTATTTTTAAAAAAAGTCAATTTTCCCACAAGAAAAGTTATTATTATGAACGAACTGCCCCAATATGGGGTCCAAACATGGCGGTCTGATGACTTTGATTTAAGTTAGTTTTTTAGTCACTGAGAATCACCATTTAGCTTAATTTTGTCATAGTTTGTCTTTTATATTATTAAAGCTGGATAGTCAGAGAATAATAAAACATATAAAAATTATTGGCTTACAACACAAAACCTTATTAATGAATAAAAAAAATGTTTTTATTAAATTATTTATTTAAAAAAAATATATTTACTATATACATCATTTTATTTTTATATATAGCATTATATTCTTCCTTTTACAATATGTTATGTTAATTATGTTACAATGTATTATATTATGTTAATTATCACTCGTAATGTTTGTACGTAATATAAATTCTCGAACCTTTGTATTTACACTAGTAAAAGTCAATACGGCAGTATTCACGTATATTAAAATGAATAAGGTTAAAGTTACAGAAGTGAATGCAAATATTTTCACACAATCTTATTAATGAATACTCTTATTTATTAAAAAAAAATGTATTTATTAAATTATTTATTCGGGCATCTGTTCCCTCCCCCAATAAAAATAGATGTGAATAATAGAGTTTCTTAAAGAGTACACCGGTACACTCGTGAAAATACTTGAAAAAAAATCCCTATCATCCAGATTACAAGAGCCTGCTAAACAAACAGACTCAGTTTCGCTATCAACTTCATACATTGTTCTATAAGCAAAACTTAAGACATTAACAAATATATTCACACATTAAACACCGAACGGCAGGTCCGGAAAGGTCACTATTAAAATTTGACAGCTCTTGCCTCTTTCATTGCTACAACTTGAGTCTGTCGTGTATACGTATTCCCCGATGGAATTTCCAGGGTATCGTTCCGAGTGTTGTACCTACCCTGGTCATCCATTAAAATTATCTTTATTGCCATTAGCAGCCCATATATAAACAGTGCAGCGAAAAGTCTGTACGTCTAGAATCATTGACGTAGGCTTTTCATTCTGGTATGGGAGAGGCCCCATCCTCTGGACCCAATAAAAAAAAATGCTTGAAAATTTGTATTACGTACAAACATTCCGAGTGATAATTAACATAATATATTGTAAAAGGAAGAATATAATATTATAAATAAAAATAAAATGGGATATATAGTAAATATATTTTTTTTATATAAACAATTTAATAAATATATTTTTTTTTAATAAATAAGATATGTAAAAATATCTGCATTCACATCTTTAAATTTAAGCGTATTCATTTTAATAAATGTGAATACTGACATATTCACTTTTACAAGTGTAAATACAAATGCTCGGGAATTTATATTACGTACAAACATTACGAATGATAATTAACATAATATATTGTAAAAGGTAGAATATAATACTATATATAAAAATAAAATGATATATATAGTAAATATATTTTTAAAATAAATTATTTGAAATAAATACTTTTTTTTTAATAAATAAGAGTATTTATAAATAAAGTTGAGTGGAAATATTTCCATTCACCTTTGTAAATTTAAGGCTATTCATTCTAGTAAACGTGAATACTGCCGTATTCACTTTTACAGGTGTAAATACAGCCGTATTCACTTTTACAATCGTGAATACGGCCATATTTATATTTACAGTCGTGAATATGTGATAATTAACATAAAATAATATATTGTAACATAATTAACATAACATATTGTAAAAGGAAGAATATAATACTATTTATAAAAATAAAATGATATATATATAGCAAATCTATTTTTTTAATAATATTAATAAATACATTTTTTTAATAAGTAAGAGTATTCATTGATAAGGTTTTGTGAAAATATTTCCATTCACTTCTGTAAATTTAAGAGTATTCATTTTAGTAAACGTGAATACTGCCGTATTCACTTTTACTAGTGTAAATACAGCCATATTCACTTTTACTAGTGTAAATACAGCCGTATTCACTTTTACAATCGTGAATACGGCCGTATTTATATTTACAGCCGTGAATACGCATCTTCTGTATTTATATTACTTTTTTATGAATATGAATATATTCATATTTATATTCATTTGTACCATAAATATAAATGGTATTCGTATTTATATTTTTGAATATAAATATGCCCATCTCTGGTACTGGCGTAGGTGACTATGGGGCTCTACCAAACCATTCAGTACTCATAAATGGCTTAGTTATAGTGCTATAGTATCGTTTTTGGTACATTGTATTGATTCTATTAATATTAATGCAATAATTTAATTGTACAACAAAATTTAATTTTTTTTTTTTTTTTTATGATTTATTATTTTATTTATTTGTTTCTTTTAAATTTAACTTCCTTTATTCTATACGGAGGTAATTTAAGCCTCTATTGTAAAAATGATATAATTATAATAATAAAACTTAATTCAAAAATACTTTGCTAAATATCTTGAAATTTTTATTTAACGTTTGCAATTTAACACTTTGTTTTGTATATTTGCTGATTCTTAGAGGTAATTTAAATTGTATATACTTCCCACAAACTGAGTCATATTAATACCTGTTTTATAAACTAAAATAATATATACCTAATTTGAACTACATATAATGAATAGTTGCCATGTAGTTTAGTAAAACTCATATATCACTAATAAAAAAAATTAATGATACTAGTTCACAAGAGTTCCGCACGGATTACGCGTGGTTCACAATCACTTCGATCACACTTGTTCATGGAATTCCGAAGACAACTGAATGTTGTCGTTTTTTATGACATCAGCTATTGTCCCATCACACAATCCCTTTTCATGCATTTTTTAAAAAGAAAAAAACGTATTCCCTTTATCGAACTTCCTTATCAACAATTTATTAACGAATTGTCTATTCACTAATTAGTTAGTTATTAATTTTCATTTTAACAATTATTACTGTGAAAGAAAAAGAAAAAATACGTAAAATAATGTTTGAGTCGTTTCTTCAAGGCCTGTTAAAAAAAAAATGCTTTCAGTAATAACATTTTTATTGACACATGCTTACATGTAGAGGCTGTAAATACGTATATACTGTATATTATCTTTTATAACTGTGTATAAAAGATTTTTTTATCATTTGGATAATAAAAAATTTGAAGTTATCTATTATCTTTTTATTTGTTATTCAAGTTTTTCAATAGAAATTGGAATAATTGAATTTATAATTTATTTTAGCAAGTCTTTTTTAGAATTGCGCAATCGTCTATCTAGTTTATATAATTTTTTAGATTTCTAATAATACGAGGGTCCACTATTTTATAGTGGGAGGGATGCACTTTGTATACAAGTACTGTCTGATTTGAGATTGAGCATCAAGTTTATGTAACTTTTTTGAATTCTTAGATATATGGATCCACTATTTTCTAGTCGTCGGAGCTTTTTATGAATATACTGTCAGATTTAAAATTGTTTGTCGATTTTTGGATTTCTGAGTCCACTATTAAGTTGTCAAGGACACTTTTTATGAAAATAATGTCAGATTAAAGATTGCGCGAGAAAAGTGAACAACACTAATAAATAAAATGTATCTATCAATCGTTATATAGATAAATATTTATTCCAAAAATGTCCAATCCCAACGAGACTCATAGATTTGCAAGTTAGTTAACTATTAACTTAAAATTAATTTTTTCGTTTTAATCGCTATTATTTTTATTAAATGAATGAGCTGTGTAATTATTGTTATTCGCAGTTATTTTTCTTGGTAATCAGAAAATGGGGATTATTGTAGTCATTGGTACAAAAAAAAGTGTCTATTTTCGTGTAGTAAAAAAAAAGTATTAATTTAAAAGGAATTAACGTATTGGAGAAACAACTGACGAAGAATATCTGATAATTCCAAGATAATGAATAACGTAAATCATCAATAAGAAAAATAATATCGTGAAATAGCATTCAGAGATGTAATAATTAAAGGTTTTTATCTATTACATCTATTACTATTTCTTTTTTACAGATCTATAATATATGTACAAGTTAAATTCAGGTTTCATGATGAGTAGCCTAAATTTCAAATGTAAGTCGGCTCCGGCTATAGAACTGAACATGGTTAAGGTTATAGAAGTACTAAATGGCGGGAAAATTAATAGTTACTGGCCCAAGATATCGGTCACCTTCGTTCTCTTTCGGAAAAACCCGAATGCATTTGGAATTCCATAAACAAGTGTGACCAAAGTGATTAAGAACCATGCGTAGTCCGTGCGGAACTCTTGTGAACTAGTACCAAATTAATTTTTATTTCCTCTATTTTGTTCGGAAGTTGGACCATATAAAAAAATAGGAAATTTTAATATTGAATGCAATATTCTCTGCACAAAGAAAGATGAAAAGGGCGAAGCTATAAATTCTTCTAGGTATAATAAACAGATGAACAGAATATTTCAAGATGCTGCTAAAAGAGGGTCAAATCCTGGAGCAGTTTGGATGATATTAAGGGGACGATGCAGGTTTACTATGGTGAAGACCATTTTATAAGCAAGAAATATTTGTTCAAAGCAATTAGCAAGTCAGCCGGTCTTGACCTATTAAACGAGGTTTATTATGGTGAAAACCACTATATTTTTGATTGCTACTGAAGTTGCACATTGTGACTATCTTCTCTATAATCTGCCTACGAATGAATAGTAAACAGATGATTATTTTATAAGTAAGAAAGATTTGTTTGAAACAATTGGCAAGTCAGCTGGTTTGGATGAAGTAACCCGAATGGACTTGCAGCAGTTTGGTTGACTTTGTCCAGACTAGCTGACTTGCCAATTGGTTCGAACAAATCTTTATTACTTATAAAATAATCTTGATTAAAATGGTCATCATAATAATAAACCTGAATCGTCCCCTTAATATCATACAAACTGCTCCAGGATTTGAGCCCCTTTTAGCAGCACCTTGAAAGTTTAATAACAAACGACGCTTGATTTTCAACTTGAAAATTTTTTTGTTAAAAAAATTGAATTTATGGGTGTTTTTCATTGCCTAAGCCAATTATTTTTTAATGTTCTATTATTCTCTGACCATACAGCTTAATAAAGGACCAACTATGACGAAATAAAGCCAAATGCTGATTCTCAGTGACCAAAAACTAATTAATGTCAAAGTCATCAGGTCTGCCATGTTTGGATGCCATTTCGGGGCAGTTTGTTTACTTTGTGTTGTGGAAACATTGGCTTATTTTTAATGAATAGTTACAAGGAACACAATGATATGCAATTTATAGTGATGTGGGAAGAGGGTGCACGGTAGGGGGGTCTGGCCCATCGTGTATAAATATTGACTATCAGATAATAGTATCAAGACACCATTTCGGGCTGGTATGCTTCTAAACCTTGGAAGTGGAGAATCTACATATATATCAGTAAAATGAAAACTCTGGCATTCTTGTGTCTCAACTAAGTTTTTAATAGAATGCTTGACAGCGTAAGGAAATTTAAAAGTTTAAAAAATATATAAAAAGCATTAATTCATTGACTAACAAAAATTTTTTGGCCTTTTGGTCTCTAAACAGAATTCTTTTTGAATTTGATTCTTCACTGTTAGTTTTAAAAAAATTTGGTATGGTATACGCATCATACAACTTTCACTTACCATCTTACTTTCAGTAGAAATAGGTATTTTCATATAAAGATAAGTGAAAGCAAACATTATAGGCTTCCGTAAAAGCACATTTTCTTCTAAGCTGCATATTTTAATCATAAGGGCACCATGTATTTTTTCCTTTATCATACATTGGCAAGAGTGTCGCAAAATTTTTTTTTAGTGCAATTAGGTTGACGGGCCAACAAAAATTTTGAAAACTGCTATTCTATAATACACCACATAAACATGGAACCTTTTTTATCATTGTGGGTATTTATTAGGTACCGATACAGTAGGTATGGGTATATATACAAATTTTAGTTTTCATTTTAATTTATCTAATTAAATGCTAATCAATATCACAGCTATCCTTCATAAAAGTCACACATATACTATTGCAGTCCAAGCCTTACTCGCCTACGATATAGCATATGCCCACTCTGAAGTAATCGTTATATTCCGACCATGATCAAGCGCTCCGGGTGGTTCTTTGAGCAGCCTTCATTGGTTCTTGATCCTATCTTACTAATCCTTATTTTTACTTTAATTAACTATCATATTCCTTTTTAGTTTATATTTAACCATTTTTTATAACTAGAAACTATGTGATATAAATTTTGAAAATTTGGCATTAAACCCTTATCAGAATATTTCAACGAGGATAATATCCACATGATATTATAGATCACTTGATTTTATATTGATATAACGAGTTTCATTAAAATCATTAGAGCCACATAAACATTTATTGAAAATCATTAGAGCCGAAATATGAGTAAATTCAAAGATATAAAGTGGCACTGCCAGTAAGTCCAGTTTGTAGAAAAAGTTGCATTAACATCCCAGGCATGAACCTACTGTAAACATGTATTTTCAGTTTTACACACAACTTCGTGTTTTTGAGCTAAGAGGTTCAAGAAAGAAGAAAAGCAGTGTGGACATTGCTTGGAGATAAAGTTATTAAACTAGTTAATAAGTTATAGCTGCGAAACACCATAATCAACACAATTAGATTAATACATATACATTTTCAGTACACATGCTTTATGTCTTGAAACAAATTGATGATTGATCAGCAGTTGGGAACTATTACCAAACACAGACTTCATAAAGCTTGGCACTTCTCCAAAGCGAATTTCGGGGAACGACATCACGTCACCAAAAGATCGAAAAGAAAAGGAAAAGGAAGCCCAAAGACATGTGTAACAGACCTGATAAAACAGATAATTCTACTCCAGCTAAAAATGACCCTTTAAGGAATCAATCCAGTTATCAGTGGTAGATGTTGAAGACTGAGATGAAAAATAAATCCATAGGGCACAGAAAGTGGCCACAACTTGCACTCCCTTATATATTGATGATCACGACAAAGGAGGGATCTTTGAACATGGACATCTTGCACTTGATAAAAAACGACCCTGAGCCCCAGTATATAGGGAAAAATGCTCTAAAAATACGTAAGTGCAACACTAGGAGTCTTCTGGTGTTGGATAGAAAAGCATCACACAGATCAAACAAATTTGTACTGCGATAGCAGAGAAAATTATTTATAAAGTGGAGGTCACTAGCAAGAGAAACTCTATTGCTATTGAACTGAAAGATTTTGATAAAATCTTGATCAATACAGCCGAAGAAGAAGTGAACAAAGCTCTTAAAATCAAACCAGTAGAGCACAAAATATTGATGTTTCAGGTGTGAGATCTTTTCTTGAATCTTAAGGTGGCACACAGACAGCAGTGGTGGTACTGATGCCACCACTGCAAGAGGTGGGACAAATCATTAGTTAAGTAGAGCTTGTAGTTCTGTTTGCCAAATCATGACAGCTACCTGGAGGTTACGCCACATAGATACCAGAGTGAGAATGCCAAGAGGCAGTGATGGTCGAACTTGTTAAAGCCTAAAAACTTCAACATTTTTGATTCTGGCGAAGCCTGCTCGAATCTGGCCTGGAAAAGATAAAATTTATTGCACTGCAGATCCACGGAATGAATCTTAATCTTTCCACTTCAGTTAGAATATGTCTAGGTGATCCTGTAGAACAACACTCCTCCATCCCCAACCCACCCTGTATACACCACAAATGGGGAGGTAGGGAGTAATAAAAAAAATAGTTGGGAGTGTCAAGATTCATTTTCCAGGGCTGCTGAGAAATAAATATTAACCAATCCAGGTGAGGAATTGAATCCACAATGTTCAGAACTGGGCACTCTGGGATCCTCGCCCCACTGTGCTCAGCCACCACATCCTCACAGCAATGGTGGTACTACCCATGAGTATGGCGAGAAAAGCCATTGAAATAGGCAGCATTTGAGTTTGATAAATTAGTAGTCAAATAAGGGAGAAAATTTCTCTCAAAAGGTGTTTCCGAAGTTTCACCTATGGACACTCTGCATGGGATTGTAAAGGACCTGACAGAACAAAAGGTAAAGAAGGTAATCTAGCAAAAGAGGGTAACATTGAAGTGTACTGTCTTTTATGTGCAGAAGAAAGAAACACAGTTTGTGGAGTTGCAGAAATGAGACTGGTGGCTATGGTTGCCTCATCTATCAGCGAGCAGCAGAAGCAGCATTTATGTGCATTAAAATAAATCACTATGAAGCTGCCTAGGGATTTCTACTAACAAACAATCAGGGAGAAGGATAATTATTTGCAATTATTTCAGTACTGTGTACTGTGTGAGCAGTATAGAAATGTGGAAGGGTGCTGTTTCTGTTTGGTGGTTGAACCAGTCGAGTAGTTATTTGATCAGAATGAATCACTTCATTTAGGAAACCCAGCACCCAGCAGACTCCTAGAAAAGGTTTTGTCTGCATTGAAGTTAAAGATATCTACATCTGTAGAGTCTATGCACCAACAAGCGTTCCACAAGAGGAATTTTAAATTATACTTAATAGAGTTGTGCAGGAACTGTGATGGCATCATCCTCTTATCATTGTAGGAGAGGTGAATGTCTTTAAATATATTTGTTACATTTTATGTTTTTCCCTTTAACATTGGCTATCCCCAAGTTCTCAAGAAATGTAAATGCCTCAAACGATGATTTAACTGGTGAGCCCAAACCTTGCTTCTTCCAATGATTGGCAAGTGAGTATTTATATTCCTAGTGTGATCAGGTTATTTGTTTGTGTGCCATAAGGAAAAAGGTCAAACTGCTGCAATCAATGTGGAACCGTCAATCATTTGACAGAGATTTCTTCATCCTGATGATGGACATGGACCTTGGAAGTCGCATTATGGGGAACAGTAGAATAGAAGAGAAGGTTCTTCAACTGATGGAACTTATTACTGATGACTGGGATAACACATTAATGATGAAGACCTCTAAAAACAACTGGCACAAGGCATTGTACTGATGGAATGAGGATATCTCTGTTCTTTGTCAAGCTTGCCTTCTGTTCCAGACAACTAGCCTAAAGAGCAAGAGTTGCCTAATTTATGCAGCCCAGAAGCGAGAACATAAGGATGCTAAAACGATTCTTGTGAGGGCAATAAGAGAGGAAGTGTAACAGCTAAAACAATCTGTGGAAGCTTAAGAGGAGGATGAAGACAAGTGGGGAAGACCTTATAAAATAAAATGGTGAGGTTGAAAAGTTCAATCTTGTCGCCTACAGTATCTCTTGATGTGTTAGGAAAAATGTTAGCAGTGCTGTTTCCAAAACAAATGGAAATAGCCTTAGATGAAACTCAGCTGCTGGATCAGGAGCAAGTACCAGAAATCATGTACGGGTGTCTTGTACTGGTTCAAACCATACCCAATATCGGTGGACCCAAGCAAAGACAGAGAAGGCTACTAGCAACTGCAGCCAATTCAACACATTTTGTACACTGCGCCAATCTGAACAAAAAATTTTCTTGTTCACTCATATTTTCTTAAGGCTGGCAATCAGCATGCTTCGAAAAGGCAACCAGTGTGTCGCTCCAGCCTTCCGCAATGTATCTTATATCTTATGATGTGGTGTGCTGACATGCCTCCAATTGACCTGCTTGCAGATGAGCATAACCAGATCTACGGAAGAAGATGAGAACATCCGAATGTTCACTGGCCAATGGTGTCAAAGCGAGATAGAATTTATACTCTGAAAGATGGGAGAGGTGCTGGGATGCAACATCTTCTGAAAGATAGCCCATAAACATAGGGATGTTGATTGTTACTTCACCCAATTGCTTACTGGGCTTTGTTGCTTCAGAGCATTCTCTACTTAGCACTCTCCAAGCTGAAAGACAAATTATCATGCCCTGCTAGTGTCCCCATGGGGCAAAGAGGGGTACACACATGCTCTTCAGCAACAAGAGTTTCATCGAAGAGAAAGAAGATCTAGAATTTGTATATATAAAAAATTATAGCAATATTTTTCATTTCATACCTTTCTTTGGACATATTTTAATGAGATTTAAAATCTATTTAACAATTTGTATTACTAGCAGTATTTCTTTTATTCTTTTTATTTAAAAAATAAAACAGAAAGAAATCAATAAGTTAATAGTTAATAATTTATAAATTTAATTTTTTGAAACAATGTAATCAATTATATTGGAATTTTTTAAAATTGCCATTGCTAATTTTTAACGATCACAGATAGTTAAGAATAGCAGAATCTCATAGATGATAAGTTATTTTTCAATTAATAAGGAAAATTGTTTTTGAGAACAAAAGACTAAACAATTTTTTTTTAGAGAACAATAATTAAGGAATTAAGAGTACCTAAATAGAAAACAAAAAAATATTTTAATTTTTTAGTAGACTAATATGAAAGAAAAACATAATATGTTTAAATTAGGAAATAAAATAATAAAAATAAGGTGCTGAAGCAAAGAACTTTTATAAAACAATAAGTGTATATACATTCACATTACTAAATCAATCCTAAAAATTGAGTAGAAACCTGCTTAACCAGTTCTATAAAGGATAACTAAAATAAAAAAATTAAGTACATTTTTCCAGAGTTGACTAGTTTTAGCATTTACACTATCATCAGAACTAAATTATTTAAACTAAAAAAAGTCACTACCATAGAAAAGAAAATTTAGCTTTTACTATAGCAAATCTTGACTTGAGAAATAAAGAGGATTAACAAGGTAGTAAACCAGAGAGGATTAATGGTGCAACCAATGCGCAAAATTTATCTAAAATAATAGATAAGAGATAACGAATAATTTATTCATATTTTCAACTACCAATAATGAATATTTCTGTCTATCTTTTATCTAGATAATAAATAAATTCAAGTATTTTATTATCTTTTTATTTGTTATTCGAGTTTTTCAAATTAATGCTAAATTTATTTTTCTTCAATAAAGGGCCTGTTTATATATTTTCGGAGCGTAGTTTTTGAAAATGATCTCTATTTTAAGATTAGCCCCTACGTTGCAGCGTATTCGAGTTTTTTGAATTTCTTAGATATAAGGCTCTATTTATTTGTTTTCGGAGCTGTAGATTTTTAAAATGATCTACATTTTAGGAAAACGCCACTGCGTTGCGAATTATTTGAGTTTATTTAATTTCTGCAATATGAGGATGTATTTATATATTTTCGGAGCCAGGGTTTTTTTCCATTTTAGGATTACACCACTGTGTTGCAACTTATTTCATTTTATTTGATTTCTTCAATATGAGATCTATTTATATATTTTTGGAGCCACGGTTTTTGAAAATGATCTCCATTTTAAGATTACGCAACTGGGTTGCAACTTATTTGATTTCTTCGATATGAGAGTCTATTTATACATTTTCGGAGCCATGGTTTTTGGAAATAATCTCCATTTTATGATAACGTCACTGCCTTGAAGCTAATTTGAGTTTTTTGTATTTCTTCGATATAAGGGTCAATTAATATGTTTTCGGAGCAGTAGAATTTTAAAATCATCTCCATTTTAGGGTTACGCCACTGCGTTGTGACTTATTTGTTTTGTTTTTTAATTTCTAAGATATAAGGCTCTATATATATATTTTCGAGGCCACGGTTTTTGAAAATGATCTCCATTTTAGAATTACGCCACTGTGTTGCTGCTTATTAGAGTTTTTTGTATTTCTTCAATATAAGGGTCAATTTATATGTTTTCGGAGCCACAGTTTTCGAAAATGATCTCCATTGTCGGATTCAAAAATAAGCACAAATGTGATGTTAAATGCAGTAGAACTTGAGATCCTCTACTTCTTTTCTGTATTAAATAGCTGATCTAACCGTATTAAATAAGTACCCAATTATAAAAAAAAAATTATAGTATACAATACGCCCCTCCATCCTCAGCACTGATTGAAAAACATTTTTCTTAAATTATATTATGCATTTTCTTAATTTTTAAATTATGCAACAATGAAAGATCTACCAGAAAGTAATAAAGTAGTGATAGACTCATTGAAATTGGAGTGGTTTTAAAAGCAAATATGACAACTTCAGATTAAAAAATGTGAATATTCTACCTTCCTTCAATAAAACTTAGAGCCCCCTTCTTTTCGTTACTGGGCTATATAAGGAAGGCCTTAATAATTAAAATCCGCTAAATCTAGCATTAAAAAGTTACTAAAATATTCCTGAGCATATGAATAATAATAAATAACTGAAATTTCTTAAATTTATTGTACCAACTTAGTATTATATGGAGCAACTTTTGATACTAAAGACCAAAAATATTTTAAATTATATGATTCACAGAAAGTTATAAGAATTATCATCAAATATTATACTTTTTCTACTGTGTAAACAATAGAATTGAAAAGTAAATACAGGTACCTTATGCCTCATTGTCAAAACACTAAAATTTAAAGTAAACATGAAAATTGCAGGTATATATTTTTGAACTATTTTTTACTTCCAGTCATCCCAGTGGGTGTATTGCTGCTGCTTTCCAGTTCCCCAACCCTAAGATAGACAATGCATCCTATCCTCTGCCACTCCGTCGGCCCACCGGTCTTGGCCTGCCGATTCTTCTCTTGGAATATATCTTTTCTTGAAGTACTTTCTTCAGGATCTTATCATCTTCCATTCTAGCAACATGTCACGCCCAGTGAAGTCTTTCAATCTTAATAAATCTTACGACATTTATATTCTTGAACAGACTAGCTATTTCAGCATTTGTTGTCACCAGACATTATTGGTGAAGATAGGCCCGAAAATTCTCCTTAGGACCCGCCTTTTGAATTTTAGGAGTAGAAGCTAGTTTTCAATAAACTTAAATAAAATATTTATTCAAACTTTAAAAAATTCCCAAAAACAATGAACGAATAAATATATTCTGAGATAAATGCTTATTTTGACATCGCACAACATTAATTAACTTTATTAGATTAATTAATTTATTTCTCAAACAAGTTAATGGACAAAAGTATACCTATAGATATGATGAAATATAAATACACAGAGAAAATCAAAAAGCCAAAATTAATCTAAATGTGCTGGAGCAGCCTTAAAATAGACTATATCTCCAAAACCATATTAATGGACCCTTATATTGCAGATATCCAAAAAGCTCAAATGAGTTAAAACACAGTGCCGTAATATTAAAATGGAGATCGTTTCCAAAAACTACAGCTCCGAAAACATATAAATTGACCTTTATATCCAAGAAATACAAGAAAATCAAATAACCTGCAACGTAGTGGCGTAATCCTAAATTGGGGATCATTTCCAAAAACTACTGCTCCAAAATAATCGCAGCGGTGTAATCCAAAAATGGAGGTCATTTTCAAAACCTACAGTTCTGATAATATATAAACAGACTCTTATATTGAAAAAAAAAAAAAAAAAAAACTCAAATAAGCAATATAAATTGATCCTTATATCGAAGAATTCCTTAAATTTACAAAAAAAATGTATTCAAATCGTATTTTTATCTTAAATAACTAATAATAGATAATTGACAATGTATATTATCTGTGAATAACAAATAACATATAATTATCAGTCTAAAGGTCATCGAATAAGAATAACGAATAGATATTTATCTATTATTCGTTATCTAGATAAAATTTTAGATAATTTACTCTAATAACGCCCAACACTGATACATAAAAATGGGATTATGTATCTGAAGTTTTTCAATATCATATATAAATATATAATATATATTATTAAATTCATTCAGAATTTTCTTTTAACTTATTAATACTACAAATACAGTACAGAAAAAAGAAGCCTTGTAAATATTATTAAAAGCTTAACAATGGTTTGATTAGTTCAACAATCACGTATCAAAACAAATTTTTATTTTGTAGTTGAGAATTGGTTTAACGAATTTATCTTAACTGTATAATTATGTACATATCATCGGCACTATGTTAAAGTAACAAAAGTGCAACATTAGAAAGGTTCCCATTTGTTACTTTAATATGGTGCCAACAATAAGCCCATTATAATTGCTAACTATTATAAATGATAAATTAATACTGGATATTTTTTTTTAATTTATATACTCTAGATTAACCAGTACTTCCAATAAACCAGCAATTTTTTAGTCCCCACTAGGACAGATAAACAGGGTTCTACACACTAAATTAAACAATCAGGGAACAGGGAAACAGCAGAACAATAAAAAACCTAAACTTAAGTTCCACCTCATAAAAAGATAAGCAGGAAAGGTAAGAAAAAGTGAAAAAAAAAAGGAAAAATAATGGATGCTACAGTATCTCATGCCTAAGATAAAATATAAGAGGAAATGCAAAAATGATGCTTATACCTTTTCATTATCCTTTCATCTGTTCTTCCTGATAATGTTCATTACAAATAGTCATATAAAAAAGTAACTCCTGTTACATGAGTCATACTTTGTGATAAATCAATCTTGTAGGAGCTATTCAATCCCAGAGTGTTAGTTTAACCAAGATGTGAAAACATTCTGATATTGACCTTGTACATTTAGCTGTAAACAAGTACTAAATTGGAGGTGCTGTAAGCTTATATCAAAAGCTTAGATCTCAGCTATTATGAGATTAAAAATTTTAAATTCAAACAAATTTTACTAAACTTCTCTAGAAGAATAAATATAATAATAATAAAACAAATTCAAAAATTATATCATTGATTCCCAAATGAAATAAATTAATATTTCTTAAATTCTCAAACAATGTATAAAACAAAACATATAGTAATATGCCTAATTTCATTTAATATGCTAATGCATTAAACTGGATATTTATTTTCCAATGTAAAATATTATAAAAAAAAAACTCCATTCTTATTTAACACAAGGTGTGGGAAGGAAGTGAAAAAATGCTAGCCATCATGAAAGTATTTCTTTCTTATGCAGTTCTCAATTCAGCAGTATTTTTTTCAATTAACGATTCCTTTTTAGTTTAAAAATACATTCATGATTATTACTTGTTTTATGACTGAATTATATAATTTATTTGGTTACACAAGATAAAAAAATGCTACAGACTACAGTTTTTTAACGTGTTTTGTTATGGTTCCATTAAACTGAATAAGTTAAAAAAAAAAGAAGCTAAATTTCAGTAAATAATTATATTAACATGGGAGTAAAACATTTAAATTCAAAACAAAATCATCGGCAAAACCACAAGATATAATAACACAGGAAAATAACAGAGCTATTGAAAAAAAAAAATCCTGATTTTTTTAAAAAAGATACTAGGCAAACAAAGACAGTAATTGTAATAAACAAAGATAATAGGTTTCAACAAGTTACTTCTTAAAAAATTTAATAGTTTTTTTTTTTTTAAAAGAACCTGTATGATTGCCAAACATAAGCAAATCTTTATGTTTTCTTACTCTATTTATTTATAATAAACTTTATAAAAACAAAATTTAAAATCATCATTAAGTTTATCAATAATAAAAACATATGTAGCTGAATATATTTTAAAGGCACAAATTATGATTTTAGTGTCCACGCCCACGCCCACGTCCACACACATCAAATTATCAAATTACAAAATTAAAACAAATTACCTTAAAACAAATAAATTTAATCACCAAAATTACAGATGAGTACTAAATCGTGGCCTTGGTAATTCTCCAAATATTGCATCTCCATGCACACTCTTAGCCAAAGCTTTGATACTAGCTGCTATATCAGAAGGAACTTCAGGAGACTAAGAAATGAGAAAAAAAAAATACTAAATATCCATTATAGTCAATAAATGAACTTATGAATTTATTTTTCATATGATTATTGTCAATTCACTTTATATATATACACACATAAATTAATACCTCTAGAATATATGTTTATATAGATTGTAATGAGAAATGTTTAGTTGTAATTAGGATTGACAGTATTAGATATTTTATAAAAGTTTTAGGAAAAAGGTTAAATATGGTAGTACTTTTGACCTACATTAAGAGAAAAAAATTGTGCCGACTGCGTGACACTCTTCAACATTAACACCAAAGCAAAACGTTCTTGGTTCTAAGATTATGCTTTGCATATGGTGGAAATAGCTTTGTGTCATTTATTACGAGCTGCTTCAGCACAATGAAACTATCGCAGGAGATTGCTATAGACTATAATTGATACGTTTGGTTAACTGCAATATGAGCAGAGACATGATAACTTTATTTTAATGCATGATAATGGTCAACCATTTGTTGCGAACCTGGTTAAAACTTATTAGGAAAGACTGAAATGGGAAATTCTACCCTACCCACCATATCCACCAGACATTACTCCTTTTGACTACCGCTTGGAACTGGGCTCAAAATAGGCAACAGCCCTATCTAAAATAGAATTCGAGATGACTGACGACGTAAGTTGTTGTAATTTTAAAACTGAATCGAATTTTAAATTTGCGTTGAAATCATTCAAATGAAAAATCTTATGGCAGAAAGGAGTCACGTTTCACAGATAAGGCAATAATGAAGTGAAATCATACAAATCGGTTGCAATTTAAAAACTGATGCCCTCAAATTTATTCAATTCGTGGAGTGTATTTAACTGAAGGACTTATGAATCTTGGCTCAAAAAGTGCAAAGAACTACCCAATGGAAGTGGTGCAATGTTGATTAACTTTAATTAATTAATAAGTACACCTACAATCTGATTTGATTTTGGAAATTTAGATCAAATAATCAAATATATATATATATATATATATATATAATCTATAGTCTTGGAAAGCTTATTTTTATTGCTTAAAAGTGGTTAGGGAAATAAATCTAATTTTTTAAACTCAAACATCAATCTTATTGTTATTTTTGACAATTAAAAACTTATTAGCAAACAAAGCTACATGGAACAATTTGAGTAATACATATATTTCAAAATTAAACAAATATAAATTAGCTTTTAAAACAGAGTTAATTCAATCATTAAATGTAAAAAGTTAGATTAAAGTCAATTTATATTTATTGGAAATTTAATGCACTAAAAAGTGAGGGTGTAAAGCAGAGAGAGATCTAGATCAAGAAAAAAAAAAAAGAGAAAAGAGGATTTTGAAGAATTTTCTAGGGAATAAGGATGAAGACCAGCGACACAGTTAAAAATGAGTCTGCCAGGTTACTTCGTTGATCAATTTTTTTTTCTTCATCTGATATCGAGGGTGAATTGATGAGTATCAGTATTTATTAATCAAACAAATGTGTCTTATGGCAAAAAAAGCAAAACATTTTCTATAATAAACATTTATTGTCTGCCCAGATCCAGGATTCAATTTTGCCGGAGGTCTTCAGCCGAAAGCTTTTTTCCATGTATATTATGATGATTGCTTGTGTGTGTGTGTGCGTGCGCGATTGAACAGTATAGTTCAAAAATGAAAAGTTGTACGAAACTGATATTGCATATTCAATGTTTGTAAATACCTGGCATGTTACAGCAACTTTTTTGTTAAAATTGGCTAACCGGAAGTGGTATTTTATATTACAGATTTAACACATTTTTATGATTTTGTCAAAAACCGCTCTGATGAACTGATCACATTTTTCACAAAGTGCATTGAGAAAAAGAAGAAGGGGAATGACAATTTCTCAGTAAAAGCTTTCTGGAATTCATATAATTCAATAGAGAGGATTATCAACAAAAATAATCATCAGACGAAATACCTGAGAAACTTAAATTAAGCTTAAGAATGTTATTGTTTCATTAGGATACCAATGTTTAAAATATTTATTAACTTTTTTTTGTAAAATTCAATAGAAAGAGCGGCATCTTCAGTTAATCGATCAAAAATATTTTTAATAGATAACCATAGTAATAAAGTCGTAAAATAAGAAAAAAATAATAATCTATTATATATTTCTTTTTTCACAACCAGCCTACAGTAACAGATATTATATGTATTTTTAAATAATTGGTAAATGGTTGACTGTCGTGAATAATGGAGAGAAGAATAGTTGGGGTGATCAGTCAAATAAGAAGGCAAAAATAAATGATACTATTTATTTTGACATTAGCCGACGTTTCGACCTGAAGTTCAGGCTATCAGGGCTAAGAAAAGAACCAGATAACAAGGCATGGGAAACATAAGTAGTGTAGAAAAAAAAATTAAAATAAAATTCAGTTGTTAGAATAATGACAAAGTAAGAAAAAAGAGATAAATGATAATAAGTGGAACAAATTGTGGAATGATAAAGTAAACATCAAACTCCAGTATTTTTAAATACTTTAAATTGCGAATTTAGTACAGAACAATTGTTAATATTTCACTTTAACACACCATTTTTATCATTTGAAAAAAAAAATCAGAAAACAGAATTAATTTAAAATATCGCGCAGTCATTTTACATAGTGTCGCAACATTTTATTACAACCAACGGAATGCATCGACATACACGTTATAAGTTCTTGTTGGACAGTATCAACAATTGTATAACAATAATCACATAATCAGTCATCTCGAATTCAGTCTTAGGTCAATAAGTTGCACATTTTCAGTCCAGTTCAAGTGGCATGTCCTTCCGGTAAGTATACCCCACGATTCAAGTGAATTTGTGGGCGTCAGTTTTTAAATTGCATCCGATTTAAGCGGTCAGTTCGTATGCTTTCAATTCATTTTCATATAATCGAATGATATAATTTTCGGCCTTAAGGTTTTTTGTTGAATAGCTTTAATTGAAATTTAAAAAATCAAGTCCGTTTTAAAATTACAACGATTAATGTCGTCAGTCATCTCGCATTCTATTTTAACATTGGCTCGCTGCGTATTTTGAGACCAGTTCCAAGCAAAAGTCTATTAGTTCACTCAACAAATATAGGGAATTTAGGGGTGTTAGTTTTTAAATTACAACTGGCATGAGTGATCAGTTGGCATGCATTCTCTTCATTTCTGTATTATACATATATAAGGCTCTTCGTTGAAATATTTTAACCCATGTTCACAAAATCAAGTCAGTTTCAAAAATGGAAAAACTAACATTGTCAGTCATCTCGAATTCTATTTTAGATAGGGCTGTTGCGTATTTTGAGCCCAGTTCCAAGCGTAAGTCTTAGTTAAATGCAACGCACAAATTAGTGACTTTGGCAGACGTTAGTTTTCGAAACGCATCTACGTAGACCGGCAGTCAAGATGTTTTCTATTTTAGGGGCACATATTATACATCTCATCAGTTTTCTCATTAAATGAAACGTCAAATTTTGCCACTTTGATTTAAATTTTCTTATATAAAGCAACGGCTTTCAAGTGACTGACCGAAGTTGTGTATTCAGGTGAGGATTATCTATAATTTAAAATGGTTTTTAGGTGTAAGCCCTGTTAAATAAAACCGACGGTAGCTCCTAGTCTATTGCCACCACTTACTTATCTTTCAGGTAACATACAGATTCCACATCGAAATAAATGTATTTTGAAGCAATCGAATCATCGTTCAACGCTGCTCAGGTCATGAGTTAGCGATCAGAACAAGTTGTAGTCAGAAGGAGTAATGTCTGGTGGATATGGCGGGTAGGGTAGAATTTCCCATTTCAGCATTTCTAAATAAGTTTTAACCAGGTTCGCAACAAGTGGTTGAGCTAATATTGTGGAAGCAATGAAGTTGAGACGCTTAAGGTATGCAGGGCATCTTGCTAGGATGGCAGACAGAGAAATGCCTAAAATATTGCTTACACAGCCAATCTATGGAACAAGGAGAGGAGGGAGACCAAACTTGAGATGGTCAAATGGTGGGAGATGCCCGCGGCATGCAGGGTGTTAGGAACTGGATGGTGTTGGCACAAGACTGTGACGATTGGAGGAAATGGTTGGAGGAGGCCAAGATCTGTAACCGGGTAGCAGAGTCATGAGAAAAAAAAAAGTTATCATGTCTCTGCTCATATTGCAGCTGCTTTTGCTTGAGGGCTTTGCTCAAATGCATCAATTGTAGTCTATAGCAATCTCCTGTGATGGTTTCATTGTGCTGAAGCAGCTCATAATAAATGACAACAAGCTAATCCCACCATATGCAAAGCATAATAAGCTTAGAACAATGAACATTTGGCTTTGCTGTTAATATCCACATGATTTTTTTCTCTTTGGGTTGTGGAAGTGAATCCACCTTTCATCCTCAGATACGATACGATGCAGAAACCCTTTTTGTTTAACATATCTTTCCTTTAATTGATACAGTACCCATTTCCTTACTTTTGAGCCATTACTAAAGCTTTCAAATATTTAGCAACTGTTGTTCAATCAACTCCCAATAATTCTCCAAGTTCTTCTTGCATTTGGCATGGATCTTCATAAAGTAACGCCTCCAAATCTTTATCTTCAAACTTTTTTGGGGTGCTTGGATGATCATCATCTTCAATATCAAAATGTTCAGCTGCAGTTTTCTTTTGAAGAAAATAGTGTAGTGAAATTCCTCCAAAAATGGTTTTGAGGGTACAAAATTAGCCATGTTTGAAGAAATATGAAAAATGTGTATACACTTTGAGGATTAAAAACAGATTGATAACCTGAATATAGAGGATTGGCTCTTTTTTTTTTTTTTTTTTTTTTTTTTTTTTCCTTCCCTTCCTCGCCGTTAAGGCTATACGGGATTTTTCCGAGCCAGGGTGTTTGAGCGGGGATTTAAAAGACACCCCCGGCACCGGGATGCGAACTCGTGTCTATTTTTATATCTTTGATTCATTTATCAAGTTGCCGGGCAACGGCGGTGCAGTGCACACGTGTTAGCTCATTCGGCCACCCCGCCCACTGGATTGGCTCTTCTATAAAATTGGTTTCAGTGTTGCGAAATTCACATAGGTAAACCAAAATTCTTTAGATAACAAACAGTGAAAACTTATTCACACACCTGATAAATAAATTATTTTTTGGTGTAAAAGGTTTTACACCATTCAAGGTTATTTATTTTCAATTCTAAGAAACTTAAAAATTTATAATTTTAATTATTAAAAATATTTAAATTTTAAATACTTTTGAGGATGAAAAATAGTCGGAATACGTAGTTCATAAAGTTTTCCAATGTTCCAACCCAAAAATGTTGGTCAACATTAGGGCAATGGATGTTACCTGCTAACTACATTTTTATTTATTGAAAATGGCTCATACTGCATAGAAGAAGCAAACAAATGGCTCAAGTTGCAGTAGAAAAATCTGCATATATGGCCAGGGTTTTCATCCATGCTTAAAATGACTTGTGAGGCCAAAGCCTAAAGGGTATAATCACAACTACTGTGTTGACCAGCTACACATCACTACACCAGGAAGTATTAAATTTATTATTTACTGATATAAATACATTAGAACTAGTGTAACCTAAACTTTTGTGATTAGGGACACACCATTCCACAAGCATCAGAAGAAGTTAGTTGAGACTTAGGCTTCATATTGAGGATTTGATTTTTGATAGAATGTAGTACAGAGAGGGATGCAAGCTGTAATTGTTGGTGATACCAGCATTACATTCATTAAGCCTAATTATTATTTACTATTATAACTTAACTTTCAAAATATTAATACATACTCCACGTTCTGGATCATTTGGACGCCTGTCTTCCATGAACTGAGGAACTGGTATTGGTAGAGATTTTGCAAGCTGAGAAATTCCTTGCTTACGAGAAATGTAACTATCATTTTCATTATCAGAATCTGCAAAAATTAAAGCAATAATTTTTTCTGTAATAAGAAAGAGTTTCATACATGTTCACAAAAATTATCAATATTATGAATTACCTTCGAAATCAGATTCATTTAATTTCTTATCATCATCTTTACTTTCATACTCTTCTAAAAGAAATACACCTTCTGAGTCCATTGAAGGATCATCACTGAATAACTGATCTGTAGACTGAAAATATGTAATAAAATAAAGGTCGAATAATACAATCTGAGAATAAATAAAAACATGTTTTTGATGTATATATAATTATACATTTAATCATTATACATATATGTATTCATTATAATACATTTAATTTTAGTTATTTATAAATATAAAAAATAAAATAGTCAACATATACAAATAGTTTATTAATAACTGATAACTGTGTCATAATGTAATGTAGTGAAGGTTCTGAAGATGAGGCATAACATTGAAATGTAGACTAAAATACATTATTGTGGCAGCAATAGAATATTTAAAGGTAGATGATTAACTTATCTGTACCTAATGATAAATAAAATATAATAATTTATTTATTAGTATTCCTTCCATAGAGCGTGTATTCGTGTAAACTTCCAACACAAATGTTTAACTTATTCCTTCCAATTTTTTAGCTACCATTTCTTTTAAGAATTCTCAGTCTCACATTTTCTCCTAAAATACTAATAATCACCAGAGTAAATTTTTTTAGAGCTGCTGATTCATAATTCATAAAAATTAAATTATCAATTATTAGGGAGGACCCTCTGTCCGCCTAATAGAGGACTAACCCCTATTTTACAAATTATACAATTGTTTATTTCATTGTACTACTCATTGCTCAAATTGTATAACTGTAATTTGCATGTATTCTGATGACTGACCCTATAATAATAATAGAAATAATAATAAAGGCATTTGACTCGGTCCCTCACAACTGGCTGTCAAAAGTCCTATAATTATATAACATTCATCCATGTTTAACTGAACTCCTGAAGAAATTGATGGACTGCTGGAAAACTAGATTGAGGATAGGACATGAGCAATCAACAGACCCTCGGGAGTACATTAAAATTTCGAGAGGTATATACCAGGGAGACTGCCTCAGCCCCTTTGGTTTTGTCTTGCAATGGCTCCTCCACTATCAATTTTATTAAATCGAGAGAAAAACAGATACAAAAAAAATTAATGAATTGAGTGCAGTAATCAGCCAATATTTTTATATGGACGATTTAAAACTTTATGCAAAGAACAAATCTCAGTTGCAATCTATGCTAAATACTGTAACTCAATTTAGTGACTCAATACACATGTCACTCGGAATTGAGAAATGTGCTGTTCTTCATTTGATTAAAGAAAAGGCAAGTAACTCCGAGAACATATTCAATGAAGGATTGCATATTAAACATCTAAAAAAGGAATAGCTATATAAATATCTTGGGATAGAGCAGCATGTTAAAATAACGAGTAAAGAGGCAAAAAACAGACTGATAGAGTCGTTGAAAAAGAGATTGAAAATTATTCTTACAGCATACCTATCCTCAGGTTCAAAAATAAAAGCTGTAAATAAGTGGGTTATACCAGTCATATCTTACAGTTATGGTCGAATTTTAAAATGGTCGACAACTTCACTCCAGGAATTGGATAGATTTATATGGACAAGTATGACTAAATACAGAATGCATTACCCAACTGCATCTATTGCAAGGCTTTATTTACCAAGAAAGGAAGCTGGGACAGGTCTCATAAACATTTAAGAGGCGTGCCGGAAACAAGAAATGACCCTCAGAGAATACTTCAAACAAAGTGAAGTACCTTTTCATAGGATAATGTGCAATCTCGACCATGGACACACAGCATTACAATTAGCCACTCCAGAAACTGCTGCATCCGTAATTTTCACGAACAATGACAGACTGGAAGAATGGAAGCCAAAAATACTGCATGGAAGATTTTTTCACCAACTCCAACAAACTGAAATAGATAAAACATTCTCTACTAGTTGGTTGGTTAGAGGAAATCTGTTTCCTGAGACAGAGGGGTTTCTGATAGCAATCCAAGATCAGGTCATAGCAACGAGGTCTTACTTGCGACATGTCTTGAAGCAACAGACAGTATCAGACAAGTGTAGGCTCTGTGCCAGCACGTTCGAGTCTATTTAGCACATAACCGGAGGGTGCGGAGAGCTGGCTGGTACAGAATACCTCAAGAGACATGACGATGTTGCAAAAATTTATCATCAGGCAATTGGTCTAAAAAGAAAGTTAGTGAATGATTCAATACCTTATTATAAGTACAACCCTAAAGAACTTATCCAGAAGGAAGGAATGAAATTGTATTGGAATCAATCTTTTATAACAGACCATATAGTGATCCATAACAGACCTGATATCGTGTTGATCGATAGTAATATGAAGACAGCTGAGATAATAGATATCTCTGTATCAAATGATGGGAACACCAACTCGGTCTGCACCGAAAAAATTCGGAAATATCAAACTCTTGCAGTCGAGTTAAAAAATCTGTACAGACTAAACAAAGTGACAGTAAGGGCTTTAGTGATCTCTAGCAATGGGCTGATTCCAAAATCCACTGTAGAAGCTACCGAGAAGTTGGGCCTCTCAACAGCTACGATAAATGAAGCCCAGAAAGCTGTGTTGCTGAACACTGCGAGAATCGTAAGGAGCTTCCTAAATATCCAATAAAACTACAAAAATTGACGTGAAGTGGTTTGAAGTTAATTCTTCTTCATTCCAGAAAATACCTTTTTTTTAAAGTGATAAAGAATAATAATAATAAAAGGATTAGTGAACCCGAAGGTTCGATGACGACATCACCAATCGCATACTTCCCTCCACCGGTCACATTCCAAACCCAGTCCCTTCAGATCTGCCTTAACGCAGTCTTCCCACCTTCGCATCGGTCTACTCCTCAGACATTTACCAGACGGCACAGCAAATATAGCATTTCCAAGTCAATTTCAACCTTTTCCAAGTCAAATTAAACCTTTTCCATTTCAAATTCAACTTTCGAATTTTTGTCAATTTTTGATTTTTTTTGAAAAGAAGGCTACTTACTATATTATCGAAGGCATACATTTTGAAAAATACAAAAAAAAATATGATGATGCGGTTGCATATCCATTTATTTTAACTTTTAAAAATTTTCAGGATAATATTTCCATGTCATATTCAATTTTTCCCAAGTGAAATTCAACGTTTTCCAAGTCAAATTCAACTTTTTCAAGTCAAATTCAACTTTTTCAAGTCAAATTCAACCTTTTCCAAATCTTTCAACCGTTTCCGTTTCAAATTAATGTTTTGAATTTTTTTTAAATTAAAAATTTTTTTTTTTAAATAAGGGCCATTCTTCCCATATGAAGGTATATTATTATGCTCCCTCAAGTAGAGTTTTTCAAAATAATATTGATTTTATGTTACACTTACGGATATCGATTTATTGTACTTATTAGGATTTATTAAGCTCTAGCATTATGATGTATGCCTAGTTTTTGGAAAGTACCCCATTTTAACGTTACCCCACTGCATTTCGACTTATTTAAGTTTTTCGGATTTATTCGATATAAGGGTGTATTCTTATGTTTCCGGAGTTGTAGATTTTGAAAATTACCTCCGTTTTATGATTAAACCACTGCCTTTCCGACTTATTTAAGTTTTTCGGATTTATTCGATATAAGGGTATATTCTTATGTTTCTGGAGCAGTAGATTTTGAAAATGACTTCCATTTTATGATTAAGTCGCTTTTCGACTTACTTAATCTTTTCGAATTTATTCAATGTAAGGGTCTACTTATATGTTGTCGGAGACGTAGTTTTTGAAAATGACCTCCTTATTAAGATTATGCCACTGTTTTGTTTATATAACTTCTTTGGACTTGATTGGTATAAGGAACTACTTATATGCTATCGGAGACATAATATTTGAAATTTATTTAGTCTCTATTTCAAAATTACACCGCTGTATCTCGATTAATTAAGCTTTATTTTGGATTTTTTCAATACAAAGTTTCATCAATATGTTTTCGAATAAGAATAAATAAATATTGTAAAGCTAAGGTTAAATTAACCATAAAATACAAAGTAAAAAGCCGAAAAATAAACACTTAATACATTTAAACCTACCACTTTCAGCTAATTGTTTGAAATTCGTTTCTTATAATTTTTTTAAGAGGACAACGCAATATTAAAAACGAAACTAAAATTAAATTTGAAAATGAGACAATAGATATTCTATTTATTTCGGCTGAAAAATAAATTAATTCTTTGTATTTTTTTACTGAACATAAGAATACACCCTTACATTGAATAAATCTGAAAAACTTAAATAAGTCAAAACGTGGTAGCGTTATCTTAAAATGGAGGTCATTTTCAAAATCTACAGCTCCGGAAACGTAAAAGTAGACACTTATATTAAATAAATTTGAAAAAACTTAAATAAGCCGAAACGCGGTGGCGTAATTTTAAAATGGAGGTCATTTTCGAAATCTATGGCTCCGGAAACATAAGAATACACCCTTACATCTAATAAATCCGAAAAACGTTAATAAGTTGAAACACAGTGGCGTAACCTTAAAATGAAGTTCATTTTCAAAAACTACACATACAATAGATAACTGATCCATACATAAAAACTGACCCATACATCGAAAAATCAAAAATAATTAAATAAATAAAAAAAGGTTGAATTTGAAATGGAAAAGGTTTATTTGAAATGGAAAAGGTTGAATTTGACTTGGAAAAAGTTGAAATTGACTTGGAAAAGGTTGAAATTGACTAGGAAATGCTATATTAACCTTTTAGGAATTCTTTTGTTACTAAGTCCAACAATTTTACAAGCCCATTTAATTCACCATGATGTAATCATCTCAATTATATTAACAAGATACAATTCATGCAATTGTTTCGGCGTTGTCTGTCTGAACTCTCCTGTTAACTCATCCTTCTTCGGTCCGAATATTCTACACAATACTTTATTTTCGAAAACCTTAAAACGTTGCTCATCCCTTGATGTAAGCGGCCACGTTTCGCATACATAAGGACCGTAGGTAAGATAATAGGATAAGGTTTTATAGATTCTAATTTTTAAGTTCCAAGACAAGAAGCATGAGCTAAGTAATTTTGTCACAGAAAAATAACAAGCATTTCCAGCCTTCAGCCTAACCTTAATCTTCTCTTCAATTTTGTTTTTTCTAGTTATCGTAGACTCTAGACATCTAAACTTCTCTATGTGTTCAAACATATTACCTTCTACATCAACATCACCGGAACTATCGCCATTCTTGCAGCTAATCATGTATTTTGTCTTATCCGTGTTTATTTTGAACCCTAGTTCTTTACCAGCTTTCATTAAGATTGTCGTATTTACTTTTATAGTTTCCGTGTCTTCAATTAACAGAGCCAAAACATCCACATAGCCAAGCAAGGGTGTTATCCCACATTTAACCCTTTTTCGGTATGCATTACCTCCTTAATGGCATGTTCTAATGCCAAATTAAACAAGACAAGTGAAAGGGAATCAATCACCTTCTTTTAAACCCGAACAAACCTCAAACTTTTTGAATAAATAACTACCAATTTTGATATTGATATTGAGTGTTTCCGTCAAGAACATCCTACTTAACAAGATTTACTGATTTTTTTGGAATCCCCTGCTCGATTAAAATATTATACAGCTTCTGGCAGTCAATAAAATCTTAAACCTTTTTGAAATCAATATACAGTTGGTCAACAATGCCATTGTACTATCATTTTTTCTCAAATATTTGCCGTATAGAAAATATTTGATCAATAGTTGAACAGTTCTGTGTAAATCCGCATAGATAGTCTCCGATAATATTCAGTGATTCGATTAGTAAGGATTAATGCAAATATTTTATGACATACCTGAAGGAGTGAAATTCTCCTATAGTTATTACAATCCATCCTCGAGCCCTTTTTATAAATTCATATAGATTCATTTTGTTCTTCAGGTAATTTCTCATTCTTCCAGATTTTTAAAACCAATATATGTATTTTAGAAATTCCAGCTCCCCCTCATGCCTTAATTAATTCATTAGGAATATTATCGCTTTCCACTGCTTTATAAGATTTTTGTTTTCCAATAGCTACTTCTACTTCCTCTTTACTTGGTTCTTCTATTAACGATTGAGCACTCTGGTACTCAGGAGGACACAGATCATTATTTCCCCTACTTAAAATATTGATAAAGTGGTTCTTTTTATTTAATTATTTAATATCTCTAACAGATTGGTCAGAATATTGTTATTTTCAGCCCTAATGCCAGACGTGATGGGCCTTAACATTTACATGATCTGTTTAAACCTTTGTACATGTCTCTTACATTATTTTTGACCTCTATTAATTTCTATTTCAATTATTTTATTTTTAAGATTCTCTCTTTTTTTTATTTTTAAACAATTTACTAGTTTCATTCTTTAACATTCAGAAGGTCAGGAGTCCCTGCACAAGATATGAAAGAAATTCTAAATTCCAGCAATGAAAACACCCTGATGGGACTGGACGCCAATGCCCACAACATCAAGCAGCAACAAGAATAACCTTAAGGAGGTGAGATATTACTGGATCTTATGATAAGTAATAACTTACATATAATAAATAGGGGCAAAAAACCTACCTTCTTTAATAAACTGAGATCAGAGGTCATAGATATAACATTGGCCTCTAGTCAGGTCACATAAAAAATGCACAACTGGTTCTCAATGTATCGGATGTGGAAACATGTTCAGACCACAAATATATCAGATTCGACTGGTCTGACAACACTAAAACTATAGAGAACTATAGAAAACCAAAATCTACGGACTGGAAAGAAAACCTCTCATATCTAGAGGAGGCAACCAGATACTGTCCAAAAAAAATAGATAACATTTGGCAGCTAGAATGCCTAAATTCATCTTTAACAGATGCAATTAGAAATTCATATCTGAGCAGTAATGATGTCCAAACCAAGATATCCAAAAGAAGGGTATCTTGGTGGAACAAGGACTTAGAGAGGCAAAGAACACTCACAAGAAGGTTGTTCAATGCCGCAAAAAGACATAGCAATTAGGAGGTTTACAGGACCGCCCTCACAGAATATCATAAATTTGTGAGGAAATCCAAAAGACGGTCTTGGAGGAACTTCTGCCAAAAAATTGATAGTGCTCCTATGGCAAGTAGGATCAACAAAATACTTACTAAACAGAAAGACCAAGGAATACTGGGTACACTCAGGGTCAATGGCAAACATACTATTAATGAGCTGGAAACCCTGAGAGAATTAGCAATAGCACACTTTCCTGAATGTGAGACCATGGAAAAGGCTTGTACAGACACTACACTCCCTAGCTATACAGCTAATTGAGAAAGGTGGATTAAGGCTAGGAAAATGGTGGTGGACTCCTTGCTCTTAAAACTAAATACTGCAGGCTTTTATTGCACAAGAATAGGCAGATGATATCGCTATTCTTATTGGCAGAAAATATCAGAATGTTTTATATGATCTGTTGAAAAATGCGACAGGAGTCTTGGAGGGATGGTCCCGGTCCAGTGGACTTAGTGTCAACCCGGCCAAGATAAATGTTTGCATCTTCAAAAGGAAAATAAAGGTAGAAATAAGAATACCTAAAATAAATAATACCCAGCTAACTTATAAGAGTAAGGAGGTAAAACACCTAGGTGTTATGCTGGACAATAAAATGATGTGGAATAAGCATGTGGAGTACACAGCTAAGAAAGCTCAAAAATGCCTCTGGGCATGTAAGAATGCAGTAGGGAAGGCATGGTGACTTAAACATCGATGGTCAACTAGCTGTATGTTGCAGCAGTCAGACCTGTGCTTTTATATTAAACTGTTGTATGGTGGTATAAGACAAGAATGGGCCACAACAGGATACAATTGGAAAAAATACAGAGATTAGCCTGTTTAATGATAACAGACGCAATGAAAACTACTCCAACTGCAGCCAAGGAGATAATGTTAGGTCTTTTACCACTGCAACTGGAGATTGAAAAGCAGCTCATGAAAACTTTTTACAGGCTACAAAAATTAAACTTATGTTCAAAGATAAACACCCTTGAGGGACATTGGGAAATAATTAAAAAAATTAAGGCGGACAGGCTGCTCACAATGCATTCTGACACTCAAACCTGTGAATTTCTCACCAAGACGTTTAATATAAAAATAGACAGCTCAGGAAAACACAAACCCATTAATGGGATTAATTGTTATACTGATGGATCACTCATGACATGCAGATTTGGTGCTGGTTTTTGGAGAAGGATGAACCAGAGACTGGCATGTCAATAGCACTTGGAAATTATGAAGTGTTTCAATCTGAAATACTGGCGATAACTCACTGAGCTTCAAAAATGTTGCTTGACGGGTCAGCTGGGAGGAGAATCGCAATATATACTGACAATCAAGTGGCCATACGAGCATTAGACAACTATACAACTAGATCTAAGGCTGTTGAGGATTGTGTTAGAATTCTCAATGACTTATCCAGACATAATAAGGTAAACATTGAATGGGTTCCGGGTCACTCTGGAATTCATGGTAATGAGATGGCCAATGAACTAGCTAGACAAGCTAGGCTCACAATTGACACACATAGCTCTGGAATCCATTTGTGGTATTAGTCAGAGTCTGACAACAAACAGAATCGGGGAGGTATATGGTGCTGAAAACAAAAAGAACTGGTGCGTGAAAAAACAGACCCAATCTAAACTGTTTCTGGAAGGAATCTGTCAAAAAAGAACTAACTTACTAATTAATCTGAGCAGGAGCTCACTCAAGAAAATTATAGCAGCATATAAAGGGCACTGTAAACTGAATTATCATATATTTAAACTCTGGATCACGGAGTCGTCTCTTCGTAGGTACTGTGGCCGGGAGGATGAGACAGCATATCATATTACTTGCTGGTGCGATAAGTTTGCTGGTTTAAGATTTCGATTATTCGGCATTGATAGGGAGAAGGATCCCAAGGATAACGAGTTTATCAATCCAACAAGCTTATTACAGTTCATTGAGATTGCAGGAAACAGAAGTGACTTTAAATAAGGCGTACAATAGGCCTAAAAAAAACAATGGTGTGATAGTATATACAGAGTTACATATAATGTTCCTTCAATAATGTAGTACAATATCTTATAAATGAAAAAATAATTCAAGTAAGATTAAAAATACTTCAGAATTAATCAGAAATTGTAAACCATAAGAAAGTACTAAAAGTTTTTGCTTATAAGTATATAATTATAACTTGGATGTAATACCTTTTTGAATGATTCAGATAAAGAAGTCAATTTCAAAGATTCAGAAAGCTCTTCAAAGGAGTCCTTTCTACTTTTTTCTTTTAAAAGATCTTTTTCTTTTCTGAAAATGATATGAATTATTATTAAGTTACTTTTATAATTTGATTTGACTAATAAAATTTATTAATTAAATTCTTGTAAAAAATATTTCATCTGTCTGAAAAACACTAACACTACTGACACTATTAAGGGGAGGCTACAGTCAATGGGTCGCTGATTTCAACCATTTTTTTGGGATACATATCTATTTTTTTTGGGATACAGATCAAAAATAGTGGACACATCCTGGGTTCATTCCGAATCCGGGAATTTTTTTTTATGTCATTTTAAATAAAGATGTAGAGATGGTTGACCGTTGATATAATATGAGGAGTTGATCGGGGGGTGCGGTCAAATTAATACTAAATTAAATAAGTAGAATTATTTAATTTTGCCGACGTTTCGACCCACTTTATAGGTCTTCATCAGGGCTACAAGAGATAGCTATCTTTGTAGCCCTGATGAAGACCTACAAAGTGGGTCGAAACGTCGGCAAAATTAAATAATTCTACTTATTTAATTTAGTATTAATTTGACCGCACCCCCGATCAACTCCTTCTCATTTTAAATAAAATTTATATTATTTATTTCTGCCTTCGTTTTGCCCAGATTTATAGGGTATTATACATCCATCAATTTCTTTGGTTGTGCAGAATATGAAAAAAATATTGATCATTGTATTAAGTGAGTTATAATGTGTCATAAGCTGAAATACTGTCATAAGCTGAATAAAAAAGATATTCATTTTTCACACCTCGAAAAACCCATAAATACAAATTTTTATAGCAATAGAAAAATTAAAAGTATTACCTAGGCTGGGACTCTCAAAATTTTGTCAGCAACTATAAAAATTACGATAACTTTAGAATGGTTACACCAATCCACACAAAAATTATAAGGGATTTAAGGCTCTATAGACTACAGGAAAGTTACAAAATGGACCTCTGTAAACAAATTAGGACCAAAGATATAAAATAAACATTATTGGGAAGTTTTTCTTAATTTCTAATTTAAAAAGCAATGGAACTTAAATGTTATCAATGTAGATTGGAAGAGTAGTAATTCAGCTTTCCAGCTGTTGTACTGAAGTTGAATTTGGAGCTAATCCTGGGAAGTTATGAATGCTTTAGTTATCGGCCAGAATAAAAATCCTCTAAGAAAATAAAATAAAAATTAAATTGTATTAAATTTTAAAATTTTTTATTTCTATAAAAATATTCGTAATTAAGATTTTCAAAGGACACTAAAAAATAAACTAGTTTGCTATTTCAAAACAAAAATTTATGTGACCTACTTTACTGGAAGCGCCTTTTGGCTTTTGTAATCTATGATAAATTATAAATCATTCAATACAATAGTCAATATTTTTTTTATATTGTGCACAACAAAAGAAATTGATTGATATATTGGGTGGATCTACAAAGTTAAGCAATGTCGAGCGTGGTTATAGTACTTGGATGGGTGAGCGTCCACCAGGGGAAGCCATGCTGCCCGAGTATCTACATACACCGGGTATGGGAGGCCCGTCAGCCTACTGGAGGCAACTCACACCGACCGGGTGTAAGATGGATGACCCTACCCCATGTACTTAAATCGGGAATAGGGATGTGGTTTACCAGGATGATGATTAGTAGCCTCCCGAGGTCTATGGACGGCCTGTTTCGGGGAAAGAAATATAAGTCCTTGTGCGCCTGCTGACTCTAAGCAGTCATAATCCATGGATCTAGATCGATTTGTCACTGTCCTTGAACATGAAGGATATGCAGGATTTCCTCATCACCGTTTGCACAGATGAAGTTTTACTGGACACATGGACCATGTCACTCATCTGTCCTATATTTAAGAAAAGCGATCGACTAAAGTGCCCCACCTACCAAGGGATCTCCCTCCTGTCTGCCGGACACAAAGTCCTGTCAAACAACCTCTTCAAGTGTTTGCTGCCCCATGTGGAGAGGGTGCTCGGCTGATACCAGTGCGGATTCAGAAAAGGTAGGTCCACGACCGATCAAATATTCTGCCTCCGGATGATTCTCGAGTGAGGAAGGGAATTCAAGATAAAAACTCACCACCTCATCATCAATTTTTGAGCAGCTTATGATAGCGTGAATAGGGAAAAATTGTATGAGGCTCTAAAGTATTTTAAGTTCCCTAGCAAGCTCATAAGCCTAGTGAGGCTTACAATGAATAACGTAAGCTGCATGGTTCAGATTGGTGGAGAGAGACTAATGTTCGAGAAGAATGTTTTTGTATATCTTGGCTCAATGGTAACTCAAGACAATGCATCTAAACAAGAGATTTGGCGTAGGATCATAGCATCAAATCGGTGCTATTTTTCTAAGGCAAGGCAGTTCCGGAGTAGACCTCTTTTTAGAAAATCGAAGCTTTATCTTTATAAGACAATAGTGCGTCGTTTTGTTGTACAATTTTGAGACTTGGACTTAAAAGAAGAATCCTCAGACGCATATATGGTGGTGTTCTCATCGGAGGAGAGTGGAAAAGGAGGAAAAACCAGAAGCTGTACACCATGTTTAAGGAGTTCGATATAGTTCGAGTGATGAAAATTGCAAGACTGAGATGGGCACGACATGTCAATAGGACGGGACGTGAGGATCCACCAAGACAATTACTGATGGAGCCACTCCATGGTGCCAGGAGAAGAGGAAGACCAAAGCTGTGATGGGCTGACAGTGTTGCTGCTGATGCAACAAATATGCTGGGGCTTCGGAATTGGATGGCGGCTCCAGGGGACTGAGACAATTGGTGGAAGCTGCTGGAGGAGGCCAGGATTCGACATTGGACTGTAGAGCCACGCTAATAATAATTTTAGACTGTTTTATATATTTTGTGGATCAGGATATTTGTATACCACTGATAGTCTCTATTTTTATTTAAAAATTAACTTTATTTCTAGAGAAGCTTTCTGCGACCTGCACTATATTCATCTCTTATTCTATTATTTAACTATTTACAGCCATAGTAGATTGGAAGAGTTTGTTCTTCATCTCATATTTTGTTTATTTAGAGAACTGTCACTGGTATACAAATATCCTGATCTACAAAAAAATTTGGTTGAAATCGGTAACCCATTAATTGTAGCTAGTGTTGCCCAAATGCAAGACTAAGACCAAGACCGCCTCGGTCTCGTCTTGGTCTTGCGTCAACGAACCTTGGTCTTGGTCTTGGTCTTGCGCACTTAGTCTTGGTCTTGCTCACTTAGTCTTGGTCTTGCGCAAGAGTCTTGCAGTTAACTATCAGCTTATTGCTATTTATTAATATGCTACTTTAAATCTTAGAAAAACGCTACAAAATAATTACCATTAGATGTTTTATTGACATAAACATTGTAAAGTAAAACTAAATCATAAAATTAAGATTCATAATTGGTAATTGGTTGACTGTCGTGGATAATGAAGAGAAGAATAGTTGGGGTGCTCAGTCAAAAAAGGAAGGCAAAAAAATTAATTATAATATTTATTTTTTACATATGCCGACATTTCGACCTGAAGTTCAGGCCTTCATCAGGGCTAAGAAAATAACCAGATAACAAGGTATGAGAAACATAAGTAATGATGGTAAAAAAGATAATAAAAAATGAGAAAATAAAATAAAAAAAAAAAATTATTAGAAAAATAAAATAGATAGATATAAAGTAAAATGAAATTGTTAGAATAATGACTAAGAACTAAGAGATAAATAATAAAAACTGTTACATAGTGTGGAATGATGAAGTAGGCATAATCAAAAAGGGGTGACAAAAGTGTTACATTGGGAATCTTAGAATAAAATGTAAAAACATAAAAAAGAAATATAAAGTTATATAAGAAATGAAAATAAAATAAATAGTAAAATTAAAAACATTGAGAATGGAGTAGTTAGATAGAAAATTGAGATATTGTAAAGTCTATCAAGATGTACAGACAATGTATAATATAATAAAGAGTTAACAACAGAGAAAAGGAATGAAAGGAAGGAGGGAAGAAATTGAGAAAGCTGAAATAAGAAAGAAATAAAAGAAGTACTACCTTTCTCCTTAAGTGTCAAGGGGAGAATAAAGTCGTTACAAGGGCGGGGGGAGAGAGAAGGGATGTGAAGGTGGCGTCATCGGACGAAGTTTGAACTAAACCCTAGAAGCCTAAATAGGTAGGAGAGATATATTATTAGAAACATTATGGAATATTGAACGAAAGTTAATAGAAAGTGAAAGAAAAATTCAAAAGAAAAATAACTATTGAGTAATAAGGAAGAAAAATTGAAATAAAAATATATCATATATACATAAATATACATATATATATATACACACATACATACATACATACATATACATACACGCATATATATATATATATATATATATATATATATATATATATATATATATATATATATATATATAAGGGAGTTGTCAGAAAAAAGGAAAGGAATATAACTATGGATGTTTTAATAAATTCAGAATTTGGGAATAGGCTAAAGAAAAGTTATTTTTGTCAGATTTAAGATTCACTGTCTTTGGTTGAAGCTGGATGTGGAGGGTTTCAGAAATGAGTCGTTTGTCATGGTTGAGAACTGTGGCAAGGATGGATGTTTTGTCGAAATCAAATGAATGTTCGGATAATTTGGAAGCGGTAAAATTACGAGAGGATACAGAATATTTATGTTGAGTTATGCGGTCTTTTAGGAGATTTTTAGTTTCACCAATATAGGATGAAAAACAATTGGGGGTAGAACATGGAATACGGTAAACGATATGAGAGAGGAACCGGATCTTTTAGGGATGTGTATAGTTTTGAGAGAGTGTTGTGAGATTTGAATGCAAGTCGTAAGTTAGGGTTAGTAGATCGTAAAACTTTGTTGATGTTGTCTGAAAGGTTAGGTATATAAGGTAGAGATCTGTATATAGGGGCTGAAATGGGTTGTGGAGAATTAGTGGAAGTTGAGATTAAGGAAGAGCGATTATTGTGGTCTGTTATAAGTTTGTTAATGACATGGAGAGGAAAATTATTGTTTGACAGGATTTGTTTT